TTGTTGAGGGCACCTGTAGTCCCAGCTACTTGGGAGGCTAAGGCAAAAGAATCACTTAAGCCCAAGAGTTTGAGGTTGCTGTGAGCTATGAGGCCACAGCATTCTACTGAGGGGGGGGGACTAAATAAATAAATGCAAGCTGCGGAATGTAGGGAATAAAAACAAATCCCTGTATTTGTGAGTATACGTACATACATACATATGTATTCATAGTGAATAAACTAGTAAAGCAAATGTCTGAATGCAATTATAAAATATATAAGATGACACCTGTAGGCTTTACCTCTCCATTTCCATTCTTTAGAATTTCATTTTCAGTATGTTTTGTGTGGAGTTTATTTTTTTATGCTGTCTCATAATGATTAAGACGTGAACAAGGTGAAGTGGATGGAGGGAGAGCTTTGAAAGTAGATTGTGATTTAACTGAAGAAAAGAAATGTTCTGAGGGCCTGATCCTCGGACCCTTCCCCTGCCCCTCCTTCCCACCTGCTGTACAAACATCAGACAATCCTTCACTTTTATGTCAGGGGATGGGGTGACCCTTGCAGTGCTAGGACCAGAAGGTGGCATTGTATGCAGAATAACAAAGCACTATTTCTAGGGGCAGATTGCAGGGATATGAAAATAGGTTTGTATGTCACAAAATGTTCTTCATACAGCTATTTTTACTGGGAAATTTTTACTTGCCAAGAAGTTTAATAGAAAAGACCTCTCCAATTTGCAAATTTTCCTCTTTCTTGGTCAGGATCTTCCTAGTTCAATAACTGCCTTCCCCCACACACACACTCCCGAGTCCCACCACACCAACAAGGAAAGAAAAAGAAAAAATGCCTGGGCTGGGCGCCTATGGCTCAATCGGCTAAGGCGCCAGCCACATACACCTAAGGTGGCGGGTTTGAATCCAGCCTGGGTCTGCAAACAATGACGGCTGCAACCAAAAAATAGCCGGGTGTTGTGGCGGGCGCCTGTGGTCCCAGCTACTTGGGAGGCAGAGGCAGGAGATTCACTTGAGCCCAGGAGTTGGAGGTTGCTGTGAGCTGTGATGCTACAGCACTCTACCCAGGGGGATAGCTTGAGGCTCAGTCTCAAAAAAAAAAAAAAAAGAAAGAAAGAAAAAAATGCCTGAAATGTTGCCTCCAGGGAGAACATTTTCTGTTGAACAGCTTTCCACATTCCAACCCCCTCCTCCCATTTCATAGTCTGCAAGACTAAGAATCTAAAAAAAAAAAAATGTTTTCCAAGTTAACAGTCACCTTGTTCCACACACCTTGTCTGAGGAGTCAGGAAACAGACAAATTCAGTAAGGAAATGCAGTAACTATGTTATTGCAAGTTCCAGGTGTAATTACTTCTCTTTCTCAAAAGTGTTTCTGATCTTTTTGACATTATTATTTTGTCATTATTGTGATTTGATTACTAGTGGTTTCTAATCCTTTCTTTAAACTCTTCATTATGAAACTTTAAAACATATATAAAGGTAGAGAGAATACTACAATCAGCTTCCTAATGCCCACCACCTGGCTCCCATCCCCCCAAGCATTACACCCATTTCCCTACTCAAATCCTGGGCACCATGATCATTTCATTGCTACATGCCTAAGAACGGATTATTCAAATATAAGAATTTTTTTTTTTAAAAATTGACAAAATTCCCTAATACATGTGGATCATCAATACCCAGTTGGTGTTCAGAATTTCTCAATTGTTTCATAAATATGCTTTTGCAATTGGTTTGTTTGAATGGGCTCCAAACAGGATCCACACGTTGGTGTTTGCCATTAGGGTTTCCCATGGTCTGAATTTTGCTGACTATCTTCCCATGTTGCTGTTTAGCACAGTCCTCCATGCCCTGAATTTCCTGTAAACTGATTGATCTGCATGTGTGATCAGATTCAGGGTTGATTTCTTTTAGCAGGTGTACTTCATAGGTGATACTCTATACCAGTGTTTTTCAACCTTTTTTAATCTCACAGCCCACTTGAAGCTATAATTAAACTTCCACAGAACACTTAAATTATGTTGATTAAAAAAAGAGTAATAAGGTTGGGCAAGGTGGCTCACACCTGTAATCCTAGCACTCTCAGAGACTAAGGCAGGTGCATTATTTGAGCTTAGGAAGTTCCAGGACAACCTGAGCAAGAGCAAGACTCTGTCACTAAAAAAAACTAGCTGGGGCTGGCGTGGTGGTTCACACCTGTAATCCTAGCACTCTGGGAGGTTGAGGTGGGCAGATTGCCTAAACTCAGGAGTTCCAGACCAGCCTGAGCAAAAATGAGACCCTCTAAAACAAAATAGCCAGTGGCCCCATGCCTGTAGCTCAGCGGGTAGGGCGCCAGCCATATATACCAGAGCTGGCAGGTTCAAATACAGCCCAGCCCGGCCAAACAATGACAACTACTACCAAAAAAAAAAAAAAAATAGCCAGGCATTGTGGTAGGTGCCTGTAATCCCAGCTACTTGGGAGGCTGAGGCAAGAGAATCGCTTGAGCCCAAGAGTTGGAGCTTGCTGTAAGCTGTGACGCTGCGGCACTCTACCAAGGGCAACATAGTAAGACTCTGTCTCAAAAAAATAAATAAAAAATAGCCAAGACCCTATCTCTAAAAAAAAAAAAGATATCCGGGCATTGTGGTGTGCACCTGTAGTCCCAGCCACTTGGGAGCCTGAAGAGAATCACATGAGTTCAAGAGTTTGAGGTTGCTGTGAGCTGAGACACATGGCACTCTACCAAGGGTAACAAAGTAAGACTCTGCCTCAAAAAGAAAAAGTTTAAAAAAAATAATATACTTACTGTGCTTTGAACTTCTTTAGAAAATAATTAAATTAACAATCTTTAAAAATTTTCGCAGCACACCTAAGATCCTCCCATAGCACAATAGCGTGCACACTGGTTGAAAATCACTCCTTTGGCTCGGCGCCTATAGCTCAACCGGCTAAGGCGCCAGCCACGTACACCTAAGGTGGCGGGTTCGAATCCCCAGCCCGGACCCGCCAAACAACAATGACAGCTGCAACCAAAAAATAGCCGGTGTTGTGGCGGGCGCCTGTGGTCCCAGCTACTTGGGAGGTGGAGGCAGGAGACTCGCTTGAGCCCAGGAGTTGGAGGTTGCTGTGAGCTGCAATGCCATGGCACTCTGCCCAGGGGGACAGCTTGAGGCTCTGTCTCAAAAAAAAAAAAAAAAGAAAAGAAAATCACTCCTTTGTATTCTTGTTGCTTTACTCATAATGTCTAATTTTCTCCTTATTTATTTAGAGACATGGTCTCACTCTGTCACCCAGGCTGGAGTACAGTGGTGTGATCATAGCTCACTGTAACCTCAAACTCCTGGGCTCAAGTGATCTTCCTCCTCAGTCTCTCAGTAGCTGGTAATACAGGCACAAGCCACTACACCTGCCTTCTCTTTTTATAATTCTAATCCTTTGTGAACATATGTGTGCAAAAAAAAACAAAGAAAAAGGAAAAACCCTAGAGTATATACCTGCTAAATCATATTGCTACAGGTAATGATCAATAAGAACTCGTAAATAAAGATTGCTGCCTTTTCTTCTTGGGAACACAATCATAGAGCTTCAGCTTATGTCTTCAGCCTAAAGTCTGAAGCTTAAAGGACAGTAGTTGTACCTAAGCAATCCTCCCAGACCAATTTAATATTCCTGGCTGTGACTTAATACCTGCCTTTGATAACAGTATTCTTATCTAGCCCCCCTAAAGCAGAGAACAAGATGAAAAGGGCTTCAGCTGCAGCATGGAACTTTGAGATCAGATAGGCAGAGCTTTTGGATGCTGAGGGGAAGATTTAGAAGAGGAAATAGATGGCAGCTAGAGAGGTGAAGTTCACCCTTTCTTCACTGGCCATCCTATTCCATATTTGATCAGCTATCAAATCCTGTATCTCCCACCTTCTTAAAAGCTCCAGAAGAGGGTTCTTTAACTTTTTTGTGTGTCATGCACCTCTTTAGCAAACTGGTGAAATTGGTGGACCCCCTTTCAGAAGAATGCTTTAAATACACACAATAAAACATTTATACTGAAATATAATCATCAAAATATTAAAATAACAAGAGTTAGGATGGCCCTAATGAATTAGTGTAATTTCAGGGTGGCCCTAATGAATTAGTGTAATTTCAAGGTAGTAATGAACATAAGTGATACTTGGAGATTTCTGCAACAGTTATAATGTGATAGGAAAATATTTGTGACTTTTATGGAAGACAGTTTCTATTCATATTATTAGGGTGAACTGCCTACAAACATGATTAAAAGAAACACTAAATTTCAGATCAACAGTTACTGAAAATAAATATTTATTTTTTTCCCATTTAAACTCACAGATCACTTGACTTCCTACACCACCACTGCTGTCCAGTTCAGGCTCATGTTGATTTTTACTTTAACTGCTATCAAGGCCTCTTGCCTTTCCTCTCTCCTCCAGGCCTGTAGGCAGTAAATCTGATCTTGTTGCTCCTCAGCTTAGAATCCTTCAGTGCACCTGATGGCCTTGAGATCAGATCTAAGTTCCTCGGTTGGTCCTTTTTTTTTTTTCCTAAGACAGAGTCTCACTTTCTCGCCCTTAGTAGAATGCCATGTGTCACAGCTCACAGCAACCTCTAACTCCTGGACTCAAGTGATTCTCTTGCCTACAGCCTCTCGAATAGCCGGGACTACAGGCACCCACCACAATGCCTGGCTATATTTTTAGAGATGGGGGTCTCGCTGTGGCTCAGGCTGGTCTCAAACTCATGAGCTCAGGTGATCCACCCACCTCAGACTCCTAAAGTGCTGGGATTACAGGCATGGGCCACCACACCAGGTCTAAGCCCACTTTTCCTTTAAGGCTAAACTCCTGGACAAATTCTGTGTCACCTCTTTGAATCTCAGTAATGTTTATTACTTTATTCGATTGATCATCAAGCCCCAAGTGCTGGGCTGGTTATTGAGGACATAGCACTGAGTGTTAAGGATATAGCACTGGAAATGTTGGTTCTGCCTTTCAGATCCCTTCTACTGGGTCAACCCTGGAGTGCTGGTTCTCATCGCGGTGCTTCCTGTGCTCCTCCTGCAGATCTCTGTGGGCCTCCTCTTCCTCTGCCTGCAGCGCAGACTGAGAGGTACAGAGCAGACAGTGGGCAGATGAAGATCCTTCCCTGAAATGAGCTGGCCTCTTGGAGCTACATCAGTTAACGGTTATTTTTGAGTGACTTCTGTGTTAGAACTCCATAATGACAGCATGTTTTGTATCTTACTGAATGCTTTCATATAAATAATAGGACCTCACATTTTCCTATGAGGTAAGGCATATAGCAACCCCATTTTACAGAAGAGGCAACTGAGGCCAAGAGTGGCTCAGTGACTTACTCTAAGTGACACAGCTTATGAGTGGCAGGGCTCAAGCCCCTGTACCATACCAAGCAGCTCCAAGCAACTGGGAAAGTGTGAGCCTTAAAGCAGGACAGGCCTAGGCTATTGGGGGGGGGGGGTATTTATATTTTTAGGAGTTTTAAATAAAGATACTGAAGTGAAAGTCTCTACCACATGGTAGGTGTTCAAAAATTGTTTCCTCCTTTTCTTTCTTTTTTTTTTTTTCTTCTGAGACAGAGTCTATGTCACCTTCGGTAGAGTGCTGTGGCATCACAGCTCACAGCAAACTCAGGAGCAATTCTCCTGCCTCAGCTTCCCAAGTGGACTACAGGCACCCACCAGAATGCCTGGCTATTTTTGTTGTAATTGTCATTGTTGTTTATCTGGCCGGGGCCAAGTTCGAACTGTCTGCCTCCATGTATGGGGCCAGTGCCCTAACGGGTGAGCTGTGGGTGCCGAGCTAGTTTCCTCCTTTTCCATTAACCATTGAGGAATTGTGTTCAGCTCTCTATGAAGCTCCACCTTTGTGCCCAGAGCTTCCGCTCTGAGCTTCTCTCCTACCAACGCCAAAACAGAGAGGATCTTAATTCCTCCCCCATCCTCACTTCCCATTTGTTACTAAGAGTTTTAAAGCAGCAAGGAGGGTTTAGGGGAAAGGGGTACAGGAATTGGTGAGACCTAGAATTCCTCCACATGAAAAAGGCCTTCAGCCCACATGGCTGAGTAGAAAAAACCTGAATGTTAGTGTCAGACAGTCTGGGTTTGAATCCCAGGTCAGGCACTGAACTCTGAACAAAATTCTCAGGTCCTCTAAGCTTCAGTTGCCTCCTCCCTCTTAAATTTCAGGAAGAATTAAAGGAGATTATTATAAAGTACCTAGTATAGATCCAGTCACAACATAGCTGCTCACTAAATATTTAGTCCTTCCTTCCTCATTCAGATGGGAAGGCTTTAGATTTGTAAAATGGCAGCCCCACAGGGTGGAGGGGGAATGTGAACTAAGAACCAAGGAAAGGAGTGAAGAGCAGTGGGTCTGGGGCTTTGTTCTTCGTATTTTTTATTCACTAATTAATCCAATCTATAGCCAGAGAAAGAGCCTCTAAATCCAGTGCTCTTCCCACACTTCTAAATATGCTCTCCAGCTGCAGAGAAATGGCCCACACAAAAGCCCCAGGTGCTGGGTGTGGAAGGGTCCTCACCTAGTGCCAAAGCAATAACTAAAATGTTTCTTTTTTCTATTTTAGGAAAACTTCGAGCAGAGATAGGTGAGTTCCAGACACCCTCTTAGTCTCAATTCTTCCCTTTTGGTCTTTGGCATAACAGAAATGGTCATGTTCTTAGGCCGTCTCTGCCTCTCTCTCACTACCTTGTGATCCCTTCAGGTGGAAAATTCACTACTTAAAAGGCCTTAACCAGCCAAGAATTGTAGAAGCCTCATTGCCCTCCCCTGCTTTCCACCAGGGTTTAAAAGAAATCCTTTGGGTTTGCTTTCTCTTATGGTGTGTCTTGTCTAGAATCAGTTTAAGTAATTAAATAACAAAGACTCAGAGAAGGAACCCTTTTTGATGCCCTACTGAGTCCATTTTCGTTTCTCTTTCAGAGAATCTCCACCGGACTTTTGGTAAGTGCTGGCATATCAAGGCCCTCCCAAGTTAAGGTGGAATTTTTATTGACTTCCAGTCACCTGGGGGAACAAGGACCCAAGTCCCTGGTAGATTTCCTCACTCTCTTCTCTTTTTCTTTTTTTGATTAAGTCATCATTTGCATTTAGAAATGGTAAGATAGGCTCGGCGCCTATAGCTCAACCGGCTAAGGCGCCAGCCACGTACACCTAAGGTGGCAGGTTCGAATCCCCAGCCCGGACCCGCCAAACAACAATGACTGCTGCAACCAAAAAATAGCTGGGCGCTGTGGCGGGTGCCTGTGGTCCCAGCTACTTGGGAGGCAGAGGCAGGAGACTCGCTTGAGCCCAGGAGTTGGAGGTTGCTGTGAGCGTGATGCCACGGCACTCTACCCAGGGGGACAGCTTGAGGCTCTGTCTCAAAAAAAAAAAAAAAAAAAAAAAAAAGAAATGGTAAGATAAAAATAAATACTCATCTACAGCCTTTATTTGCCAGGTACTATACTAACTACTTTATAAAAACAGACCCCCCACCCCCAAAAAAGGAACACATAACTCCTTCTGTTAACTACTTATGCATATCATTTCCTTTCAGGAATTACAAAAGGGAAGTAAATAGGTCTTTTGCACATAAAGTTGGTGTTTAGTAGGGGAGGTGAAACATATACTATATCAGGAAAACAAAGCACATATAAAATATATCATATATTTGCATGGCAGAATGAGTTTTCATGAGTATAGAGCATGGTTGCTAATCAGAGAAGGCTTCCTGGAGGAAGAGTGAGCCATCAAGCCACACTAGGAAGATGACCCTTCAAGGATATGGTCTCTGCCCTTTTTATTAACAGATTGCCCAATGCATAAGGACAATTCTTATAACAGAAGAGCACACAAATATTTATAAAACAAATGTAGAAATTATAAGATGGCATGAAGTAGGGCACATATGGTCCCTACTCTGAGCAACCTTCCTCAGTCTCTCCTGAGCCACTCCCCTGGCACCTAGCGCACATGAGGCCTCTATCCTAGGATTTATGACATAAGACCAGTGTACAGACTTTTCTCTTTCTCTCTCACACAGTCTTTTCTTTTCTTTTTTTTTGGAGACAAAGTCTCACTATGTCACCCTCAGTAAAGTGCGGTGGCATCACAGCTCACAGCAACCTCAAATTCCTATGCTTAAGCACTTTCTCAGCCTCCCAAGTACCTGGTACCACAGGCACCCAACACAATACACGGCAATTTTTTTGTTACAGGCAGTTATCTTCACTGTCCAGCTGGCCCAGGCTGGGCTCGAACCTGCCAGCCTGGGTGTACATGGCTGGCAACGTAACCACTGTGCTACAGGCGCTGCCCATACACCCAAAGAGAAAGAATAGGATCTTTGTTTTGCAGGATTTGAATAACAAAAGTTTTAATTCTTTTTACACCAAAAATATTTTTTGGCAGTCTGATGAAGCCTAAAAGATTCCTTCCCTGAATAATTATTTTAAATGTAGACAAAATATAAGGAATGAGATTATGAAGAAAATCATTATCCATACATAAACTTGTCAACATACAAGCAAATTTGTGATACAGTGACAAATGTTTAACAAAAGTAATGCAAAAGTAATAATAGTAGCAAGTCTAATAACTCATAATTTCAAAGTATTGATAAACAGTATTTCAAAATTTCTGCAACAATCATCCATTGGTGATTAAGTCACAAGTACCACTGATACTGTGGTTAGTTGCTTTTTTTTTTTTTCCCCCCGAGACAGTCTCACTTTGTCACACTTGGTAGAGTGCCGTTGCATCATAGCTCACAGCAGCCTATAACTCTTGGGCTCAAGCAATCCTTCCGCCTCAGCCTCCTGAGTAGCTGAGACTACAGGTGCCACATGCCTGGCTAGTTTTTTTTTTCTATTTTTAGTAGAGACAGTGTCTCACTCTTGCTCAAGCTGGTCTCCAACTCTTGAGCTTAAGCAATCCACCTGCCTCAGCTTCCCAGAGTGCTGAGATTACTACAGGTGTTAGCCACCCCACCTAGCCAGTTGTTCATATTTTTAATGGGAGAAAATGCTAAATCCAATTTGTGAAATTAGAGGTAGTGCTTTCCTCATCCAAGTTCATGAACTCGCTGGATTCTGTCCCTAGAATCCTTTGGTCTTCTTGGAACCCTGGTTAAGAAATCTGAAAAGGAGAAGGGTGGTTGGGGCATAAGGAGAAATACATGCTAACTGTTCATTTTGGTGAACAATTTAGATCCCCACTTTCTGAGGGTGCCCTGCTGGAAGATAACCCTGTTTGTAATTGTACCAGTTCTTGGACCTCTGGTTGCCTTGATCATTTGCTACAACTGGCTACATCGAAGACTAGCAGGTACAGTGGCTGGGCAGCAAATAGGATCACCAAGTAGTAGGGGACCAAGTCAGCCCTGGGTAGGAAGCAGAAAGAGAATGGAAACAAGGTTCAAGATAAGGGGGTGCTCAGACTTCCTTTCTGCTTTGTCTCCATGCCCAACCCCAGGATCCTCAAACTGTGAAGAGAACCACTGACTGGATCTCTGGTGTCCCTCAATGGAAAGAGAAAGAGGGGAGGGGTACTCCAGCTGTTCACAGGGAGGATGTGGGGGAAGAAGCTAATCACCCTCCACTGATGGCCTATTTGTTTCTGTTTTCAGGGCAATTCCTTGAAGAGCTAAGTAAGTTCTCTTCTCTTCCTTATAAGTGGAGAATAAAAAGCCAGGAAAGGGAGAGAAGCAACTGAGAGGAAGGGGGGTTATGGAGGGGCCCCAGTCCCAGAGAAAGAAGTGTTTGGAGAGTCTGGGGGGAGGGAGGTAAAAGGAAGGAGGCTAGCTATTGGTGACATGTTGAAGGGTGGCAGAGAAGGAAGCTGCAGCACTCCCGCCTGCAGCTCCATTTGCTCCACCATTAGTGCCTATGCAGTCTCCCTTCCCATTCCACCACAGCTGCCCTGTGTCCCACCTCCAGAGCCAGTTGCCAAGTGGGCACAGAGACAAGATAACCCCAAGGACTTTTCATCTCCCTGATTCAACAGTTTCATGATAGAAACCACTGGCATAGATTTTTCACTTTATTTTCTCTTCCTTCTAGGAAACCCCTTCTGAGTGATGTCACATCTTGGCAGGGGTGGAAGAGAGCCTGGTTGGTTCAGGGACTGGTCCTTGAGGACATCTCGTCCATCAAGTTGCACACTCACTGGCATCTTTGCTGTGGGGAGATCCCAGTCTGTACTTCCAGGAACACTCTGAATTCTAAATAGAATTGACTTCTCTTCCTTTCTCCAGATCCTTCCTTCCTTTTCCCCTTTTGCCACCACATCTTTCCACTCCTCCCTTGTCTCCTACCTTGAAGCCCTCTCTGGTTAAAGACAGGCAGGTGCTCCTCACTCCATCTGAGGACATCTGTCCTGGAGACTAACACAGATAGGAGGGCCTCTGCTATGAACTAGAGTGTAAGAACCTCCTCACTGCAAATTATAGCATGCCAACTTTACAAATAGCAGTTGTTTTTTCCAAGACCCTAGTCCTGATTGGTGTAGAGCTGAAAGGTGTACAGGGTAGAAGGGAAGGAACAGGGTAAGTCCAAAGTATCAAAGAGGGACTGAGTAATTAAGCTGCAGAGTGAGGCTCCTGGGAGCCCTAACCAAAAGCTGGAGATGAGAAACCCACAGAATACTGGCCAGAACTCCATTTTGTCTCTGCAGCCTACCAAGGGTTTAGGGAGCAAGAGATTAGAGCTGGGTACCTGTCTTAGATTGTCTCCTCCCTTCTGCATATATGGGTCCCCCAGACTCTTTCTCTCCTCTCATCTTCACACCTATCAGAGTATCCACTATTTTATTCAACAATTACTACTTGATGGTTTATTTTATTTTTTTGCAGTTTTTGGCTAAGGCTGGGTTTGAACCCGCCACTTCTGGTATATGGGGCCAGCGCCCTACTCACTGAGCCACAGGCGCCACCCTACTTGTTGGTCTGTAAGACACAAAAACCAAGCTAGGTGCTAATTAATAATAATATGAGTTTCCATGTATGTACATTCTTCTTTTCCTTCTTGTTTTTAGATTTCCTTCATTATCCACTCACCTCTCTCCCTCTACCCCAGCCTCCTTACCCCGGAGGTAAGTCCTCAGGAAAACCAAACACGAAGAAAGACCTCAGTCGGAAAGGCCATATATCTATGTTTCAAGATGCTCACTGCTTCCTTTGCTTTGTCTCCTTTGCATGTCTTCTCTGTTGCCTCCCCCTTCTGGGAGTTTGGATCCTAGGAGGAGACCCATTTCCTACATGCTTCCCATCCTTCCCAGACATAGGGGAGGCATCATGGAAGAAACCAAGCCACTGGCCCAGGGTGACCCAGCACTTCCGAGCACTGCCCAGGCATAGTTCCTTGCCTTGATAGCCCTTCCAGTGACCCAGAAGGCCCTCCTTCTCTCCAAAGCAGAGGTCACAGATAGGGCAACGGTAGATCTTCTGCTTCCAGTGGGTCTGCTGGTGCCTGACCAGCCTGGAGAATGAACTGAAGGACTTGCTACAATGGAAGCAGCTGTGAAGCTGCTCTTTGAGATGGGCCTTCTGGTGGCTGGAAAGATAATCTTGCTTGCTAAAAGTCAAGGGACAATGGGGGCAAGAGAAGACCTTGAATCTTGAGGGCTTCACTGACTGAAAGCTGGATCTGGTATCTAGGCAGGGAGCTTTAGTGTTAGATGCCTGGGTTCTGGCCACTGGTATGTGGCTCATATCCACAAGCTCCTGGATGGATCTTTGGCTTCTGATGATGGGTGTCTGGAATCTAGCAGTGGTACCTGGAATCCTCACAATACAATCCTGGTTTCCACCCACTGACTCTTGATTTTGGTGTATCTTCTGGTGGCGTTTGAGCTCAGACTGGTCCCGGAAGCTCTTCCCACACATGGAGCATGAGTGGGGCCGGTAACCCAGATGGACACGGCGGTGACGACTCAGTCCAGAAGCATCACAATAGGTCTTATCACAGAGTGAGCAACAGAAGGGCCTCTCCCCAAGATGCATACGTGTGTGATGGCTGAGGGACTTGGGGCTCTGAAAAAACTTCCCACACTTGCTGCAGCTATTAGTCCACTTGGGGCTATGAACAAACTGATGGCTAGAGAGGTAGGAGCGTCTGCTAAAACGCTTGCCACAGGTATGGCAAGGAAAGGGTGGCTGTGCCTTGTATGCTTGGAACACTGGGGTCCTGTCCATAGACTCAGCTGGAGCGGAGGGTGGGCACTGGCAGGCCACTCTGCAGCTAAGAGTGTCCTTCTTGTCATCACTAGTCCCCTCATCTTTCAGGCTCTGCTTTTGTTCACAAAGCTCCTCCTTGTCTCCTGTAATGAAAGGAGAGTAACCCAATAAGCTTCACTATGAGAACCCAACACGAGCTCTCCATCCAGCCCAAACCACTTCCCCTCTGTCCCTGCTTTCCCACCCAACACATGCATCCTCACCTTTGGACCTCATAAACTAGAAAAGAAAAAAGATTGGCTTTTCAAATTACAAGCAAATAAAAATTTAACTGGAATCCTTCAACAGTGTCAGAGGTCTGAATTTTAACTTATAACTTTTTTTTTTTGAGATAGTCTTACTCTATCACCTTAGGTAGGGTGCTATGGCATTATAGCTTATAGCAACCTCAAACTCTTGGGCTCAAGTGAACTTCTTGCCTCAGCCTCCTTAGTAACTGCAACTATAGGCACTTGCCACAACAACCAGATAGTTTTTCCGTTTTTAATAGAGACGGAGTCTCAATCTTGCTTAAGCTGGTCTCAAATTCCCAAGCTCAGGTGATCTTCCTGCCTCAGCCTCACAGGGTGTTAGGATTACAGCCACCATCCCTGGCCTCAGCCACATTTCTTTTTCTTTTTTTTTTTAAGACGGAGCCTCAAGCTATCCCCCTGGGTAGAGTGCTATGGTATCACAGCTCACAGCAAACTCCAACTCCTGGGCTCAAGCGAGTCTCCTGCCTCCACCTCCCAAGTAGCTGGGACCACAGGCGCCCGCCACAATGCCCGGCCATTTTTTGGTTGCAGCCATCATTGTTGTTTGGCGGGTCTGGGCTGGGGATTCGAACCCGCCACCTTAGGTGTATGTGGCTGGCACCTTAGCCGCTTGAGCCATAGGCGCCGAGCCAACCACATTTCTTGATACCAATTTCTTCTCATTCTCAATATTGTTCACACTACCACAGATATCCCACAGATGACCACATAATATATCCTGTACATTGGAATATATGAAAATGAAAAGATGTGTCATTAATAATTAAGCTGAAGGCCAGGTGTGGTGGCTCACACCTATAATCCTAGCACTCTGGAAGGCTGAAACATATCACAGGAGCCCAGTAGTTTGAGACCAGCCTGAGCAAGAGCAAGACCCCATCTCTACAAAAAGTAGAAAAATTAGATGGGCACACGTGTAGTCCCAGCTACACAGGATGGTGACATGTCTCTCAATTCCTTACTCCTAGAAACAAGCCTCCCTTACTCCAACCCAGCATCAATCCTTTCTCTCGTGCTTCTGTGTTTTGTCTTGGAATGAACTTTTTCTTTTTGAGACAGAGTCTCACTATGTCTCCCTCAGTAGAGTGCCGTGGCATCACAGCTCACAGCAACCTCTAACTCTTAGGCTTAAGCGATTCTCTTGCCTCAGCCTCCCAAGTAGCCGGGACTACAGGCACCCACCACCATGCCTGGCTATTTTATTGGTATTGTTGTCATTGTTGCTTAGCAGGCCCTGGCTGGGTTTGAACCCACCCAGCCCGATGCATGTGGCCGGTGCTCTAACCACTGAGTTATGGGCGCTGAGTCACCATTAGCTTTTTTTTTTGATGAATATTTGACTTTGGACTGTGTTCTGGCACTTCATCTTTATCCAACTATTGTGCTGCATGCTTGTGATTGTCAGGTGCTGAGCCTGGAAAGAACTTTTTAATCAGAGCAATATATCAGACATAAACAACCAACATATAATCTCTCAATCCCTACACGTTTATGTGTCCCGAGTGGCTTAGACAGTTATCTTGAAGCCAAGCGATGTGAGCTTATGATCCCAAGGTGTCTTTCACTTCCACACCTGACCTGGCTGGAAAGGTGCAGGCTAGGAGAGGATACACAAGCCTTGATCCTCTCAGTCAACTCTCCATCCTCCCAGGGGTTGACCCAGGCCCTTCTTTTCTTCCTCTCTTTTGCAATTCTTACCTGAAAGGAGACCTTCTCTATTTGAGAGGTGGAGATATATTCTCCACTGTTCCTCTTCTTGTTCAAGTTTGCTGATCAAATCTGGTTTATGCAGAAAGAATCTGGCTGGAGAATGGAATGAGAAAGAGTTCAGTTGGTCCCAGACTCGGCACTTTCATACCTGAAGGGGACAAAGGCTACCTCCTATATTCTTTGTTTCAGAACCATAGCTTGGGGGCACTTAGATGCAGGAGGAAGATATGTGAAAGGCCAGTTCCTACCAGAGTCCTGGCCAATAGGAGTAATTTAGTAAATACGGTTGAGTGAATAGGCAAATTCACGTATTTTGAGAACACTGTCATTTTACAAGTGTCATATTTGACTCTTTTTACCCCTGGACTTAGTGATCTGTATCTTGCATACCTGGAAGGTATAGAGCCAGGGATGAGTGAAACTAATCGTGAGCTAATCTAACTGCCTAGGGAAACCAGATGTTCCAGGGGTACTTGAGGGAAACCCAGCCTCTTACCCACAGACGCCAGGTTCTCAAAGGTTTCTGACATGACATCCTGGTAAAGGACCCTCTGACTGACATCGAGACATGCCCACTCTTCCTGGGTGAAATTCACTGCCACATCCTCAAAGGTGACTGGCTTCTAAAACAGCAGGAGAAACTCAGGGAATATACACCACCCACACACACACACAGAGACTGACATCTAGTCTCAAGATTGTGAGCACTGAAACCTAAGAGAATGATAAAAGCACAGAAGGAAGAGGGAAATATGCTAAGACAGACATAAAACTAGCAACTATGAAGTATAGAAAGGAAGAAAGGTGAGGATGGGGTAAAAGGGAAAAAGATGTATAGACTATAAATGGGAAAGAAAAGCAAAGGAAAAAAAGGCTGC